TCGCGGCAGAAAAAGCATGGTAGTTAGCAGCACCAGATTTAAGCATCTCCATATACATAAGGCCACTTGGATTTCTCCCGATCGAAGAACGAGAAATTAAATCGATCATGGTATAGAGTGTATACCTGGCCAAGATGTAGTCAGAATAGCAATGAATCGGCTGAAGAAGAATAAAGCACCAGTTGCCGATGGGTTACAAGCCAAACTATTCAAGACTGGTCGTCAGATGCAGGTGAGGAGCATGCATCAGCTGATTAGTACAATTTGGCTACAAGAAGAATGCATGATTGGAACCTCAGCATCCTGTGTCCCGTGCACAAAAAAAGGAGACAATACAATATTTGCCAATTATAGAGGAATAAGTCTCCTTCCCATCGCATATAAAGTGCTATCCAGCGTACTGTGTGAACGACTAAAGCCAATGGCCAATGACATTAGTGGACCATACCAATGAGGCTTCAGACCTGGCAAATCCACAATTGACCAGATTTTCATCCTGGAAAAAATCTACGAAAAACACATCGGCACATTCCACCTATTCGTCGACAATAAAGCCGCATTCGACAGCCCTATCCGTTCAGAGGTGTATAAAGCCATGTCTGCGTTTGACATTCCTGCAAAATTAATACGGCTATGCAGGATAACTTTAAGTGGCAAAGGTCATACGAGCTGGAAAAGGTCATACGAGAGGCAAAAGTGAACAGAAATGGCACTCTGTACACCAAACAACACATGTTACTCGCCTACGCCGATCACATCGACATAATGGGTCGAACACTGAGAGCGGTAACAGCCACCTTTGAACAAATTGAGAAGGAGTCTGCCAAAGTGGGTCTGGCAGTAAACGGCGGATGGTGTCAACGCTCAAGACGTCCAGTAGATTCTGACCAACTGTGGAATTTGAGAATTACAGCTTCGAGGTAGTCAAAGATTTTATATACCTTGGTACCGCCATAAACAAAACGAATGACATCACTTTTGAAATTCGGAGAAGGATAGTGATGACCAATAGATGCTACTATGGTCTGAGCAAACAACTCAAAAGCAAGGCCACCTCCCGCCAAACCAAACTCACACTCTACAAGACCCTGATACTACCCGTGCTGTTATATGGATCTGAAACATGGTTACTTGCGCAAGCAGATGAGGTTGATGGTGAATATCACCGTAATAGTGAACCATAAGTTGTACCTATTCTCTATGTCTATGTACCTATTCTCTTCTCGGCCATCGACATTGTTAGACGTATTAAGCTGGCTAGCTCATGTTGTGAGAATGGATAAAGATGCCCCAGCCCAGAAGCGAACCAGCTAATGGTTCACGCAGAAGGGGAAGGCCGCCAATAAGATGGAAAGACCAAGTGGAAGACAACATTGCCGAATATGGCCTTTAAAATGGAAAAACTGCGCAAAAGACCGACCAGACTGGAAATCTTTCTTAAGCTTGGCTTACGGACGAAAGTTCTGTCACAAGCCAGCTAAGTAAGTATGTAAGTTATTAGCCCCGTAAATAAGTTCTTCAGAAGCATCAGACTTATATATTGAACTAGAAAAATATTCTTTGGGGAGAAGAAAATTTATTTATAATAATAATAATAATAATTATTTCAATATTCTTCTAAACGGCTTAATTTCTCTTAAATTTTCATTTTAATTTTATGAAAAAAATCCAACCCCACACCTCCCCGCTAAATTTACACCCACAGTGTCACCCATTTCTTTTATTTACCTTTTTAAATGTATTTGTAACACTTCTCAAACTTAAATGCAGTGAGTAATAAATTTTAAAAGTTTTCGCTTCAAGAAAATAAAAAAAAGTTAAATTTCATTGAGTTTTTGTTGTTGTTATTTTGTTACTCTTTTGCTTTAACAGCATTTTATTCTTCTGACTTGCAACAGTTTGTTGAACAAAATAGAAGCACATTTCCACGCTGTCTTCCAACGTCTGCAAAATTTGGTTAGCAAAACAGAAAAACAATTATCGCACGATGCCATAAATTTGGCACATCACCATCACCCTCCTTCAAAAATGGACCAACTGCCATATGAAGAGGGAAACCAAGAAAGGGGGATAAAGTTGAGTTGTTGTTGGTTTTGTTCTGGGAAATGAATGATTAAGATGTTATCCCCCTTTTTCTTCTAAAGGCAACATCAACACCATGCCGAGCTGTCAGTTGAACGAACCCTCTTTTACGGCGATGTCGAAAATGGTTTATTATTTAAATGTTCGAAGAAAATCTCAATTGAGATGTGTCAGATATCTGAGAGATATCACAGACAATAATTTAAATCGGTGTCTCGGACACACATGAAGTTTGGGGATTGATAGCCTACTCGAGGCGCATATTTTTTAAAATAATATTTTTCCTGGCCTACCATAAGGCGTGGATTTTTTAAACCATATTTTCCATGGCCTACCATAAGGCGCGGATTTTTCAAACGTGGATTTTTTAAACATTATTTTTCATGGCCTATAAGGCGTGGATTTTTTAAACATTATTTTTCATGGCCTATAAGGCGTGGATTTTTTAAACATTATTTTTCATGGCCTATAAGGCGTGGATTTTTTAAACATTATTTTTCATGGCCTACCATAAGGCGTGGATTTTTTAAGCCATATTTTTCATGGCCTACCAGAAGGCGTGGATTTTTTAAAGAATTATTTTTCAAGGGCTACCAGAAGGCGTGGATTTTTTAAAGAATTATTTTTCAAGGCCTACCAGAAGGCGTGGATTTTTTAAAGAATTATTTTTCAAGGCCTACCAGAAGGCGTGGATTTTTTAAAGAATTATTTTTCAAGGCCTACCAGAAGGCGTGGATTTTTTAAAGAATTATTTTTCAAGGCCTACCAGAAGGCGTGGATTTTTTAAAGAATTATTTTTCAAGGCCTACCAGAAGGCGTGGATTTTTTAAAGAATTATTTTTCAAGGCCTACCAGAAGGCGTGGATTTTTTAAAGAATTATTTTTCAAGGCCTACCAGAAGGCGTGGATTTTTTAAAGAATTATTTTTCAAGGCCTACCAAAGGCGTGGATTTTCTAGGAATATTTACCAAGGCCTATAAAAGGCGTGGATTTTTAAAAGAATAGTTTTTCAAGGCCTACCCAAGGCGTGGATTTATTAAAGAATTTTTTTTCAAGGCCTACCAAAGGCGTGGATTTTTTAAAGATTATTTTTTCAAGGCCTACCAAAGGCGTGGATTTTTTAAAGATTATTATTTCAAGGCCTACCAAAGGCGTGGATTTTTTAAAGAATATTTTTCAAGGATCACCAAAGGCGTGGATTTTTTAAAGAATATTTTTCAAGCTAACCACCAAAGGCGTGGATTTTTTAAAGAATATTTTTCAAGCGTCATCCATAGGCATGCATTTTTTTAAAGAATATTTTTCAAGGCCTACCAGAAGGCGTGGATTTTTTAAAGAATATTTTTCAAGGCCTACCAGAAGGCGTGGATTTTTTAAAGAATTATTTTTCAAGGCCTACCAGAAGGCGTGGATTTTTTAAAGAATTATTTTTCAAGGCCTACCAGAAGGCGTGGATTTTTTAAAGAATTATTTTTCAAGGCCTACCAGAAGGCGTGGATTTTTTAAAGAATTATTTTTCAAGGCCTACCAGAAGGCGTGGATTTTTTAAAGAATTATTTTTCAAGGCCTACCAGAAGGCGTGGATTTTTTAAACCATATTTTTCATGGCCTACCATAAGGCGTAGATTTTTTAAACCATATTTTTCATGGCCTACCAGAAGGCGTGGATTTTTTAAAGAATTGTTTTTCAAGGCCTACCAGAAGGCGTGGATTTTTTAAAGAATTATTTTTCAAGGCCTACCATAAGGCGTGGCGGATTTTTTAAACCATATTTTTCATGGCCTACCATAAGGCGTGGATTTTTTAAACCATATTTTTCATGGCCTACCATAAGGCGTGGATTTTTTAAACCATATTTTTCATGGCCTACCATAAGGCGTGGATTTTTTAAACCATATTTTTCATGGCCTACCATAAGGCGTGGATTTTTTAAACCATATTTTTCATGGCCTACCAGAAGGCGTGGATTTTTTAAAGAATTGTTTTTCAAGGCCTACCAGAAGGCGTGGATTTTTTAAAGAATTATTTTTCAAGGCCTACCATAAGGCGTGGATTTTTTAAACCATATTTTTCATGGCCTACCAGAAGGCGTGGATTTTTTAAACCATATTTTTCATGGCCTACCATAAGGCGTGGATTTTTTAAACCATATTTTTCATGGCCTACCATAAGGCGTGGATTTTTTAAACCATATTTTTCATGGCCTACCACAATATCGATAATTTATCCCATGTTCCGGTGGCCAGATTTATTAATAAATATTTCCAAATGCATGTTTTTCTTGGTAGATCGATGCGTCAATTTACCTCTTTTAGTCGCTCTCACAAACCCCCCAATCATTCCGCTCTCTAATTAACCAAAGTTAAAAAAAAAAATCTCACCCACGAGAAATTCTTATTAGCACAGCAATTAGAGAATCGATTCGATATCTTATCACAAATGAAGAACTGGAAAATATTCATATGAAAAAACAGAAAACGTATAAATCGAAACCGAACCGAGCGATACGTCACTATCAGTGAGTGCAGCTATTGATCGAGACAAGCGTAGCGTAGTAGAGGAGGACCGCTTATCACAAATTAACACCTTTGCTTGTTTTATTGATATGATAATAGAATGACAGCAAAGGCGGGCGGATGGATGAACGGACGGACGGACAGATTGACGACCCAATAACAAATCATTTAATTATCAATACCATTGTTACGATAACTCGGCACCAGCCAGAAGGAAGAACCTCAAGAGAGAGTGTGTGAAGGAGGGAGAGAGAGAGAGAGCGTACTGCAAACAATAATGGAAATTTTGAGATAGGCACAGCAGTTCGAAAAGTGAAGTCAAAAACAAAAGACGGGTTAAAAGAAAAAATATTGAAATTAAAAAAAAACAATTTTAAAATTGATAAAAAAACAGAACCAACTATGGCTGCTGATGGCGAAGATGTTGGACCCAAAATACCCCCCATTTACCCTAAAACCAAGGATGTAGAAAAGGCCACCGTATCCTATGATGATGTCGATTTTACCAGTGGCTTTGAGACACAATATCAAGAGGAATATCGTCCCCTGAAGCCAAAAATTACCGTCCCACCCCGACAAAATCCGTCAACAATGTGGTATCGTGATTTGAAAACCATTCTCATTGTGGTCCTTTTAATGGCCATCTTCCTTTTTGGCACCATTCTTCTGACCAAATTGGTATTTACAACAAATCCGTTGTATGTCTTTGCCATAACATCCGTCTACGTGATATTGGCCATTATTGGGATTGTTATCGAAGTGAAGTCGGTGCACGTACGTTGACAAAAAGAACGATTGGTGTCGAGAAGGAGAAGGAGGCCAGACAACACATGAGTGGTGTGGCGGAGTGTGTGAAGTAGTAAACCCAAATATACAAAATTATAGTAATCGGTACCTATGTATGTGAAGGTCATGAAAAAGTGATAACGGCAATAAACATTAGGCAAGAAAATTGAAAAAAAAGACAACAGCAATGAAAATTTTTACAATGAGAATTTGTTTTGGTTTAGATTTTAAGTTTTGTAATTAAGAATTTAATTTTTGGATATTATTAATAAAAATAAATATTTCACAAATTTTATGCAAATTTGAGTCATCAAGAGTGTTTGTTTAATGAATCATGACAATGGAAATAATTTTCAAATAATATTCTGAAATTTATTTACATTGAGATAATAAGAGAGATTTTTTTTCAAGTCGAAACACAAGGCGTGGATTTTTTAAAGAATATTTTTTCAAGTCACCAACACAAGGCGTGGATTTTTTAAAGAATATTTTTTCAAGCCACCAACACAAGGCGTGGATTTTTTAAAGAATATTTTTTCAAGCCACCAACACAAGGCGTGGATTTTTTAAAGAATATTTTTTCAAGCCACCAACACAAGGCGTGGATTTTTTAAAGAATATTTTTTCAAGCCACCAACACAAGGCGTGGATTTTTTAAAGAATATTTTTTCAAGCCACAAACACAAGGCGTGGATTTTTTAAAGAATATTTTTTCAAGCCACAAACACAAGGCGTGGATTTTTTAAAGAATATTTTTTCAAGCCACAAACACAAGGCGTGGATTTTTTAAAGAATATTTTTTCAAGCCACAAACACAAGGCGTGGATTTTTTAAAGAATATTTTTTCAAGCCACAAACACAAGGCGTGGATTTTTTAAAGAATATTTTTTCAAGCCACAAACACAAGGCGTGGATTTTTTAAAGAATATTTTTTCAAGCCACAAACACAAGGCGTGGATTTTTTAAAGAATATTTTTTCAAGCCACAAACACAAGGCGTGGATTTTTTAAAGAATATTTTTTCAAGCCACAAACACAAGGCGTGGATTTTTTAAAGAATATTTTTTCAAGCCACAAACACAAGGCGTGGATTTTTTAAAGAATATTTTTTCAAGCCACAAACACAAGGCGTGGATTTTTTAAAGAATATTTTTTCAAGCCACAAACACAAGGCGTGGATTTTTTAAAGAATATTTTTTCAAGCCACAAACACAAGGCGTGGATTTTTTAAAGAATATTTTTTCAAGCCACAAACACAAGGCGTGGATTTTTTAAAGAATATTTTTTCAAGCCACAAACACAAGGCGTGGATTTTTTAAAGAATATTTTTTCAAGCCACAAACACAAGGCGTGGATTTTTTCAAGCCACAAACACAAGGCGTGGATTTTTTAAAGAATATTTTTTCAAGCCACAAACACAAGGCGTGGATTTTTTAAAGAATATTTTTTCAAGCCACAAACACAAGGCGTGGATTTTTTAAAGAATATTTTAAAAAATCAAAAAACACAACGCGTGGATTTTTAAAGAATATTTTTTCAAGCCACAAACACAAGGCGTGGATTTTTTAAAGAATATTTTTTCAAGCCACAAACACAAGGCGTGGATTTTTTAAAGAATATTTTTTCAAGCCACCAACACAAGGCGTGGATTTTTTAAAGAATATTTTTTCAAGCCACCAACACAAGGCGTGGATTTTTTAAAGAATATTTTTTCAAGCCACCAACACAAGGCGTGGATTAAGAAATTTTCTTTAAAAATCATCGCCTGTGATGCTAATGGTCTTCTAGGAAATTTTCTTTAAAAATCATCGCCTGTGATCATCGCCTGTAATGGTCTTCAAGGAAATTTTCTTTAAAAATCATCGCCTGTGATCATCGCCTGTAATGGTCTTCTAGGAAATTTTCTTTAAAAATCATCGCCTGTGATGCTAATGGTCTTCTAGGAAATTTTCTTTAAAAATCATCGCCTGTGATGCTAATGGCCTTCTAGGAAATTTTCTTTAAAAATCATCGCCTGTGATGCTAATGGTCTTCTAGGAAATTTTCTTTAAAAATCATCGCCTGTGATGCTAATGGCCTTCTAGGAAATTTTCTTTAAA